GCCGCGGCCCCGCGGCGTGCAGCCCCCCGGGGCGGCAGTGAGCGCCCCCCGCCACCGCCTGGGGCTGAGCGCGGTCGTGCCTTTGCCGGAGCCGCCGCGCTAGAGCAGGAGTCCACTTCGGCCCGCAGCGGAGCAGCGGCCGGCGGCGCGCATGGATTTATGAAGACGCTCATGCAAGAAGGGGGCCGGACTCAGGCAAACTTTTCCGCCGGCTCCGCGTCCGCTGCTCCCCGCACCTCCGCTCCGCTCCGCTCCGCGCCCGGCGACCGCCGCTGCTCGCGATGGTGGCCGTGCTGCTGGGCGGCGGCGGCGAGGCCCGCGGGGGGACCGGGCCCGGCGCTTGGCTGTGCTTGATGGCGTTGCTGCAGCTGCTGGGCTCGGCGCCGCGGGGCTCCGGGCTGGCGCACGGCCGCCGCCTCATCTGCTGGCAGGCGCTGCTGCAGTGCCAGGGGGAGCCGGAGTGCAGCTACGCCTACAGCCAGTACGCCGAAGCGTGCGCGCCGGTGCTGGCGCAGCGCGGCGGGGCCGATGCTCCGGGGGCCGCCGCCGCCGCCTTCCCGTCGCGTTGGCGCTGCCCGAGCCACTGCATCTCGGCGCTTATTCAACTCAACCACACGCGCCGCGGGCCCGCGCTGGAGGACTGTGACTGCGCTCAGGACGAGAACTGCAGGTCCACCAAGCGCGCCATCGAGCCCTGCCTGCCCCGGACAAGCGGCGGCGGCGCGGGCGCGGGCGCGGGAGGGGTCATGGGCTGCACTGAGGCCCGGAGGCGCTGTGACCGAGACAGCCGCTGCAACCTGGCGCTCGGCCGCTACCTGACCTATTGCGGCAAGCTCTTCAATGGGCTGCGGTGCACCGACGAGTGCCGAGCGGTCATCGAGGACATGCTGGCCGTGCCCAAGGCGGCGCTGCTCAACGACTGCGTGTGCGACGGCCTCGAACGGCCCATCTGCGAATCGGTCAAGGAGAACATGGCCCGTCTGTGCTTCGGCGCGGAACTGGGCGCCGGCCCGGGCAGCAGCGGCTCGGACGGCGGCCTGGACGACTACTACGATGAGGAGTACGACGACGAGCAGCAGCGCCCCGGGGCCGCTGGCGCTGAGCAGCCGCTGGACGACGACGACGGCGGCGTGCGCCCGGGCGGCGGCGCTGCGGGGCCGGGCGGGCGCGGGGACCTGCCCTCCGGGCCCAGGCGCAGGAGCAGTAGCGGCGGCCCCCGCGCGGCGCCCTGGGACGCCTGGGCGGCACTCTGCCCCGTTTTGCTGCTGCTGCTCCGGCCGCTCCTCTAGCTGCACCGGCACCTGTGGCCGGGCCGGAGCGAATGAGGCCAGGGCGTCCGAAACTCTGCTGGAGACTGTCCTGCCGGGTCCTAGCCGCCTGGCCTTTCCCATCTCTCCAAGCTGAGCCCTGGGACTTCCCGCCCTACTCCCCGCTCCAGAAACCGCACAGGGTTCGGGCTGCGGAAGCCGCTCCTGGAGTTCCGGACAGCCTGCAGGAAACGGTGCGGGACGCGACCGAATCTGCAAAATGCTGGCGTGGGGGGGGGGGTCTTCACAGTCCCCAGGGACTGGGCTTAAAGGAGGGCTGCAGGGTGAAGGAGAAATGAAACACAAAGGGGCTGTTTACTAGCATTTTCCTTGTGAGGGAGGAAAATAGTGCTTGTGGCCAGTGAGGCCGGAGCAATAGTGAGTAAAGAGAAAAGTCCCACTTACCGACTTTTGCGTTCACTGTCGGTGGCAGTACCCAGAGTGCCTGGTGACCAGTGGTGGGAGGCGATGATTGCCTCAGGAGGGACTCCTAAATTAGTTGCTGATAACTATGAGCCCTTGACCTTAAATTTCATTGCTACTATTCTGATCTCTTAGCACATTTCTTAGGGTTAAGAGTCCAAAAATGCTCATCTAAAGAGTTACTATGGCATTGAACAATGCCGCTTTTTATTTAAAAAGCTCTGCACTGCCATCTGTGAAAGGCTCTTTATGATGTTTGTGTTGCTGTCAGTTTTGTTCTTTATATCAAGAAATTGTATGTTCAGATATGCGGAGATCATAGATGCCTCTGCCCCTATCGGGGTGCTCAACCCTGGTACATCGTATATAAAGTGTATTAAGACTGGAATTTGTTACCAGTTGCTGTACTTTGTATATATAATTTTTATAAATTGTATGCCTCAGAAATAATTTATTTTTAAGAAGAAATTAAAAGTTTTAAATCCACATTCATGTTAAATTTTTTACCCCCAGCACTGTATAGAATTCACTTGTCACTAGGGATCCAAACCCAGTATCTGTTTGGAAGTATGGTCTATTGAGAACAGCCTTAAAATGTACAGTGTATTTTATAGATTTGAAGTAACATTCTTATTTTCAAAAGAATTTATGGACATTGTAGAAATGTATAAATGCATTTCCAAACTGCCTTAAACATTGTATTTTTATAGACCTCATTTTTTAAAGTCCTATGATTTAAATAACTATGGCTTTGTGTATTTTTTGGTTGGTTTATTAAAATAATGTACATCAGTAAAGAGATTATAAACAATGAATATGGTGTAGTTGCTTTCCAGAATTTAGCCCAGGAATAGGTGAAGAGGGTTGTACAGAGGACCCTGGGAATCCTTCAGCCATCAGTGGGGATTAAAGTTGAGTACAAGACAAAAAATGTGGGGGATTTCTACCTTTAATTTAATGAACAATTAGACATCTCTAAATGAGGCAGCTAAAAGATACGCAACTGGCCTCCCTTGCTTTATTTCAGTGTGTAGAGAATTAGACAACTCACCAAACTGTACTGTGCATAATTTGAGGGTAAACCCAGGCATCACATCCCTCCACCCTCTTCTCTTGGGCATTTCCCCCCCCCACACACACACACCCACCCAAGCCCCTACCCCCAGGAGAGTCTTCTGGCTACTAGACCTGCAATCAAACAGGCCTATAACATCTGTTACCAATAGAGCCCAGGAAACCTACAAGACTCAATACTTCAAAGTCATTTTCACACTTTTGGTGAAAAAGTACAAAATTTTGTTGCAAAACATTCCCCAAAGCAAAAGTAAACACACCGGGGAGAGGAATAATTACCAGAACTTGTAATATTTTTGTGGAGAGTTGTTTAGCAGTGGGCTGAAGGCTGGGCTTTTGCCAGAGCTACTGATCTACACTCAAACGCCCTTAGATAAATAATTACACTCTTAAGCTGTGTCGAGTGCGGATACACTTGACCTTGTAAATAGAAATGTTTGCAGTAGGAATAAACTCCAGCATTGGAAAATCTTTTAAACATTAACACAAAAGAGAGCGCTCTGTCCTCTGGGGATTTGAGCCTGAACCTCGCCAAGCTAGGCACTTGCAAGGGGGAAAAAAAGTTTATTTATCTTCTATTCCTGGTGTTTATTTAAAGCTTTTCATTTTAAACTCCATGATTGGAAGGCAAGTCAGGAGTTTAAAAAGTCACCACAAATAAACTGTGTCTGAGGGGTCGACAGATTAGCAAGATCTGGTGTCTCTTTATTTGATATTAACATGTGCTGAGAAAACATAACCAGATTTCTCTGCTGCCTAAAGTAATTAACAAAGCTTTGCCCCTTCCAGCTTCCTCCCACCCCCTATTGCTTGCGAGGTTTCTTTTCCCTCTAACTCTTTTCCTGGGTTTTATGGAGCAATTCTAGGCACTCGTTGGTGCACCTAAAACTGAGATTATACGTACATGTAGATCTTCAAAAAAGCATAAGATAGTTGTCCCACAGGAGAAGCCTAGGAGAGCAGTGTGGGGTTGGAATCTCCAGTCACCTGAATGGTTGAGTAAACATATTGTTAAAACAAAGCTGAGCTCCTTGTTTCTTTGGGAAGTGAACAAAGAGTATTCCAAGAGACTTGGTAAATGAAATCAGCTTTCTTTACAAAAAAAAAAAAAAAAAAAAAAAAGAGAGAGAGGAGTTAGCAATGCTCCTGTGTTTGCCCTTAAATATATTTAAATCATCTCCATCTCATGTTATTTTAACACATTCTTGATGAAAAGTTAAGTCTTTGTCCCAGTAAAAGGCCCAGTTTTCCCCAGTAAGAAGTAAAAGGCATTAGCACTAGAAAAGGCCTGATAATTAACTGCTACAATAAACTCACAACTTGATTTTACAGGGTCCTGTCAAAAGCATCTGCCTGGAATAAATCAACACAGCTAGCTCTTGGGGAGAGAGGACGCGAGGCTTTAGGCTTTCTTCCTTAAAGAAAGTGAACATTGATCTGTAGTCCATTCTGCGTAATTTAAACAATTATGCACCGGAGCCCAGAAGCCCCTGGCCTCCATATAGATCTAGTGGGTTCCAGAACAGGTTGTTGAAATGTCAGGGCCCTTGCACTGCTGGTTGTGGGGTTGTGTGTTGCCATCTGCTTCTAGATAGAAAAGATTTTTACAGATGTTGACATCTGTAATAGCTGACACTCTCCAGGGAGCCCATTGGAATTCTGGACATTTGGCCTTCTCAGATGTCTCCTGGAGCATGCCTGGAAGTACCATTAGTGAAAGAAAAGGTATCCGGCTTTTCTTGAGAACTCTCAAGAGTGCCTCAGAGAAGTTTTCCAAAGTGGGAGAAGCTCCTCTTGGATTCCATGTAAAACATCATGTGTCCCCATAGCCATTCCTATTTCCCCAGCTAGCAGGTTGGAATGCTCAGTGACAGTTTATTTGTCTTTGGAGGCACTTCAGTGACAAATGTTTAAGGGAGTGTGGGACAATGGTCAAGAACAAGGGGGCAGTTCATTGAACTGACAGTGACCATACAGTAAATAGAAGGAGGTTCAAGCTTCACTGCCCACCCGAGCACACAGCAACGCTTTTGTATATGATCACAATGGCCATAACATAAGGTCTCTGTTTGTTTTCAATGATATATAGTAGTGTACATGACCATGCACATACATGAAGTGGAAAAATGGCTGGCTGGAGGTAAATTCTGCTGAGTGGCAGGAGATCCTTGTACTTGGGCAGCACCCGCGTGTATCTACAAGGAAGGAAGTAGCACCTGACCCTGACTGTCATAACTGCACAAGGACACACATGTGGTCAGTGCCATGCCACAGGTCTCCAGTGGGATTTGAGTCAAGGAAAACCCAACAACACATGTCCCTACCTGAGAATCTGAGGAAACTACTTGGCATGGACGTTCACCTCCTCACCCCATGTTCATGCCTTCACCCCATCCCACAATGTTATGTGACATTGAAGAAAGAGACCAAAACACTCCAGAACTTTCTAAGACATTATAAGCCCTGTTGGAAATCTCTCTACAGTACAGTCAAGCTTTGGCTTTGCATTATGAACTTATCGAGTTCAATTGGAAACTCTCTAGTGCAACTTCACGTTTTTCTTTTCAGAGCTGGAGAAAGAGAAGGAGAAATTACTTATTTTTTGACCTCTTACACCAAAGATATCAGAAATGTCATCACTTGACGTGGGTTTCCCCACTACTCAAGCAAAGTTGTTGGGAGTCTTGTGTTACCATGCCTGGTGGCCAGAGTCGGGCTCCTGCCTGTGAGTTATGTTGGACTTTACTATACTTCATTTGAGAGACTGCCTCTGGAAGATGCAAAGTGTCACCCTTGACTATTGCAATGACAGAAGTAGTGCACTGTCAACAGAAATACCTCCTAAGGCATCCATTTAATCAATTTCTTAAATAACAGAATGATCTACTACAAAATAGTGGACTGTATACACTATATTTTGGCACAAAGATGGTCATTCTCCCACTAGTAACCAGGGCTCTAAATAAATGATTTCAACAATGTTTTATTAAAGGACGACAAGAGCCCTCGAGCTGCATTAATCGGGGAGAAGTCGAGTGGCACTTTTGTTATGGAAATGTTAAGCACATAATAGCACAGCCAAACAATGTACAGCCACTTCATTCTTTCAGCCATGCTGACACCTCTTAAAGAGGAGCTGCAGGGAAGGATGTGGGAAAGATTTGCTTTCCTAGGAAGCTTTCAGCTCATATTTTGGAGGGCTACCTCCAAACCCTGTGTAACATGCATGCAACAGAGGCCAGAAGGGCTGCTGGGAGAGAGAAAGGTTTTCCACCTGGTATTTCAAAAGCACAGGTTCCTCAAGAAAACCAAGTCTACATTTTTGGGGGTGGTATTTTGCCCAAATAATGTTTTGGTGATAAGGTTGAGTTCAGTTTTATAAAGCTGGCTGGCAACTCAGTAGCTCTCGATGGTGTTCAGGATGCATTGAGTAGTTATCCTAGAGCTCAGTCTCCCTAACAAATAGGAGACATTCTAAACTTCCTGATAGGTGGGCACACAGCATCACCCAGTGCCTCTTTGGTTCATAACAAAAAATAAACAAAATGATCGGATCTGTTCCTGGGCTTTAC